AATAATAACAATAATGATAATCATAATAGCAATAATAATAATAATAACAATACTATACTATAATATTAATCTAGCAGGCACCCCGGACCTGCCCCAGGCACTGCTCATGTGCAGCCCGTCCTCCGTAGGCTCCTGCTGCTTCTCCCCCGCCGGTGCGAGGCCCGTGACGTGCGTGTTCGTGCCACCTGAGAGTCGCACGAAGCTGACGGAGGGTTTGGGGTTTAGGGTTTAGGGTTAAGGGTTTGGGAGGCGGGTGCGGAAGACAAGGAGAAGAAGTGGAGTCTTCACTGGCCGCGGCACCGAATCCGAAGGAAGACAGCCCAAAGGTGCGAAGCGTCTCCCGGGAAAGCTCCACCACGGCTTCCGTAGGGAAGCTGAATTTCACGTCTTCGATATCCATGTGGGGGTTCAGGCTGGCCAAGTGAAGGTTTGGGGGAACTTGGCTGTGGACCATGGCCGACAAAGCCTTCAGGAGACCGGCGATACCCGCCGCGCCCTCCAGGTGGCTGACCTTGGAGTTTCTAGGGGTTTGGGGCTTGAAGTTGTCCTCATGAGGCTTTCAGCTGGCAGCACTTGGCATCTCTGGCGATGTCTCCCCATCTGCTGACTGTTTCTTTGAGTGCCAGGCATTGGTCTTCACGGCTCCCACCTGCAAAGCCTCGGGTGCAGGAGTCATGACAGCCACGCGTTTCTTGCAAGACATCCCTCAGTCAAGGAGCAGCGCTGCGGTTCTGGCCCATCGTGTTGCATAGAGATCCGACTTCAATAGGATCCCCCAGGCCGGTGCCGGTGCCGTGCGTCTCGATGAAGTCCGCGGCACTTGGTGCAAGGCCGGCCTCGGCCCAAGCAGTCTGAATCACGTCTTGCTGTGCAGGGCCGTTTGGAGCCGTCAGGGAGGAGCTCCTGCCGTCCTGGTTCGCTGCTGTGCCACTCACGGCAGCTACGCTCATGTCGCCAAGATCTGAGAGGCGCCGCACGAGGACAGTTCCCGCACCCTCGCCCCGCGAATAGCCATCTGCGGAGGCATCGAAGGTCTTGCATCGGCCGCCTTCTGAAAGCATGCGTGCCTGGCAGCATGCCACGAATGGCCCGGGCAGCAGATTCATGTTCACACCGGCTGACACCGCCGCCATGCAACGACTTCGCCCGATGTTTGCAGCAGCAATGTCCAGCGCGATCAGCGATGAGGAGCAAGCCGTGTCGGAGGTGACACTCGGGCCTTTGAAGCCGAAGACGTACGCAAGGCGATTCGAGGAGATGGACATGGAACCGCCCGTGCCACTGAAAGGGTTCATCTTCTCAGTCTCGAGATTCTTGAAGTGGCCCCAGTCCTAGGCCCAGGGTCCGAAATTCAACCCGAAACGTCATGTGCACCTGAAACGGCCAACCAAGTGGCATTGTTGCACTCACCGACGAAACTTCCGATGTCCTTCGGCAGAGTCACAGCATGAGGATTGCCACGCAAGGAACCGGAGCACGAACATATCTGAACTTAAGCACATTGCATGTTACTGGCTCCGCTCTTCCACGACTCGACCATCTCGCTTCTGAGCACCAAAAGCACCCAGGACATGTTTGGAGAGCGATGGCAAGGTTTCAATGCTAGGTACACACCGAAGAAGCAACTGCAGGTTCTGCACTGCAATGAGATTGAACCCTCAGCAGATGCTCTGCCGTCAACCACCACAGATGTCCTTCGTACTGAGCGGTGATGTTGCGCCTCCGATGCTGAGCAGCGACTTGGCGGCATGGAACCCTTCCTGAACGATCTCCAACAGGAGTCGCTGCTGGGGGTCCATGCTCGCAGCCTCCGACAGGCAATGAGAGCATGCTGCAACAGCTTTGCCTTTTGTCGGAAGCACGTGCAATCTTAACTTGGTCAACGAAGCTTATGCATGCAATCGTAGCAACGAAGTAAGGTGTTCAGCCAGCACATGGCTACAAAAAGGCCGCCTCCGCGCCCGAGATGCTGAACAGCGCAGCATCAAAGCATTCAGCGTTCTTCACGAATGCAGCATGACGAACATACATTCGTCCAACCGTATTGGGAGCAGGATCGTAGTACTCGTCCACGTCCCATCGATCGTAAGGGATCTCGGTGACGCCGTCTGTTTTACTGACCAAGGCTGCCCAGAACGTCTGGGAATCATCCCCATCAGCAGGGAAGTGGCATGCAGTAGACAAAGCTGCAAGCGGACCCCTCTCGTCTGCCACCGGTGCTCGGATCACAGGCAGTGCTGGTGCAGCAGATGGTGCCAGCTGAGCCGCAGCGTATTTTGCAATGGCACCCGGGCTGGGATAGTCAAACATCAGCCTGGCTTGAAATGAGCTTGGCCAAGGCTTGAACAAAAGGTATGTGTGCGACACATCGAGAACTTTGGCTCCCGCTACCTTTACGGCAAGTTCTGGTGTGCAAGTTGAGACCCAGTCGCACGAACCTCCAGGACCAAACTAGCCAAGGCACGTGTTTGGCAGCTTCAGTCCTGGCAACTGCTTTGCCACCTGGTAGGGTGCGGGTGCTTTGATGACCTAGTTAGCATTCTCCTCCTCCTCCTCGTCGGTATCACCGTCATCGTCATCACCATCGTCACCACCATCACCGTCATCAACAACATCACCATCATCGCTGAATCATCACCATCACATCTGAGATTACCGTCACCACTATGGTATTCCAAGTTTGTTCATGCATAGCCGGGCCTGGTTTCTGAAGTCCACCGCGGAGAGCGAGTCCAAGCCAGCCTCCATGAGGGGGGCATCTTCCTCCAAGGTCTCTCCCAACACACCCTGGGCCACGTCCAAGACTGTCGCCGTCAGCTTGCCTTTGCTGGGAGTGGAGGCTCGGGGATGTTCGGCTACCTGACTTGGACTTCAATGCTCAGTACTAGTTATTACTTGCAAAGAAAGACGTCGGAGAGATAGCCAAATAATTATCCAGGACTGCGGATGGTATGGCGCCACGGTCCACACAGCTGATTGAGTGATGAAGGGTTGGTTGAAATTGGTGCTCTCTGTGAGGACCAGGGTTCACGATTTTGGGGGCTGGATTGCGCCGCAAATTGTGTTAGTAGTTGTTCCAGATTCTGCTGCGGTGACACAGAACGGCTGATTCGGAAACCAGACGCGTTAATTCCCAGTGAAGATGCTGGCCTCGCTCTAGAATCTCTGTTCTGGACATCGTGCGGGCATGCATGCTCTTGTTTCTGGACGCACTGGCAACATGGAAGTTATCATGCTTCGGGCATGGATGCTTTTGGGAGTGGATGCGCTGGAGTGGATGCACTGGCTGCATGGACTCCATGGGCATTATCATCGTTCGGGATAGGCGTCATCATCGGTTTGCCCTCCGCAGTTTCCGATGCGCAGTGTCGACTTCCAATGCGCAATTTCCCATGCACGCCGGTTTCCGACGTGTAGTCTCCGAAGTGCGCGGGTTTCCCATGCACAGTTTCTGACGCGCAGCTTCTAATTCAAGGATCGGTTGCTGATTTCTCAACTCTTCGGATTGGAACCCACAGAGCCAGGTTGGTTGGGTGACTTCGC